TCACCGAATTTTAACTTGGCGTATTGATGTTTGCAGTTTTTCCTTTTTAAAAAGAAACAAAACTCATCAACACAAACAAACAAAACCCCCAAATCCCCACACCATCAGAGCTGCTGCTTCCAGGACGTGACTCAGTAACTGGATGCGAGCAAAACATTCTTTTCTCTTCAAACACTGTTGTAGGATATTATCTTAGTTTAACATACTTTAAGTAACGAAGCCTTAAGCCAACATCGATAACAAACAAAGAACTACCTCTCTATCTTGCTTGTAAACCCCCAAACCAAGAATTAATTGCTTTTCTCATATTTCTACGTATTAATTGCTCATACAATATTTATGTGTAGAAATATTACAAAGTTATCTGTGAATTTTCCTAGGGACACTGACTGCTCTCCGTGACAGGACAGCAATCCCTTTTTAAGCTTATATTACTAGAATATTTGCAAGAGGATAACTGAGAGTGTACACGTGTACAGACTGGAGATTTTTGGGTTTTTTGTTTTCCCCAGAAATCCACTAAATAACCTCATTCCCCTAACCTTTACTCATGAACATGCGGACACAGACATATGGATACTGTTAATTTTTGCTTTATGGGACACCACAGATGGCACCACAGAAGAGTCACCAACAGTGTCACACCTCTCTACATCCTGAAATCGAACCTAATATTCCAGAGATGTGCCAGATATCTCACCAGCAAATAAATACTTCCCTTTCGGTGCAGGTACCACATAACATGAAAAAATTCTACTACAGATATTCACAAAGCTAAAGGATTTTTTTTCAGTCTGCATAATGAATGAGAAATTTCAGCCCCTATGCTAAACCATATATATTTTGTTCAGCATGACACATAAAGGTGAAAATCTAAAGTTTTTTAGAACTTAAGCTGTACAGCAAAATTACTAAAATATCATTAGGGTTGTAAAGTCAACACTGCTAGTAGAAATAACGTTTCCTGCAGAGTCTTAATGTATTCCTGAATATCATTATGATATTCATTTATTTCCATAATCACCTGCTATTTATTCTCCAGAGATTCATTCAATACCTTAAGAGAAAACTGGGATTATTCATCCTGATTCACTAAACGCCTGAGGTTGCAGTACCTTAAGGCTTTAGGGTGTTGTTTTTTTCTTCATTTTTAACCATATCTAATTTTAAGATGAAATACAGATGAATTTGATTTGGAAAATTTGCTGATGAAAGCCTATCCTAGCCTTTGGTAGCCTGTTCCCAAGATTTAAGATCCGGTATTAACACTTTGATTTTAACTGAGAAAATACAACCTTTCAGAAGCTGAATGAAGTTACACTTTTGATGTCAAGATCAACTGATTGTATTATTAGTAAAAAAATTTATAACACAGTGGGGAGTAATAACTATTTTGCTCATAGTCTTAAAAAAACTAGACATATTTTAACTCTTAAACACTGCAGGACCCACTCCAAGGGCAACTTGGGGGTTCATAACGAGGAAGACTGGCATCTTTTAGATAGCTCCTTTATTTGCATGAGAAAATTAAATCTTTGTAGTGTCCAAGCCTGTGACAGAGGGGAAACATACAGGGTGAAGGTAACTTATAGGGTGTGTTTTGTAGCATAGGTGCTGGATTCTCTCTGCGACAGTTCCCATGTGATGCTAGACGGGTAAGTTGCAAACATCTTTTGAGGGGTACAGCTTCTTTGGACACAGAATGATTAGGTAATTTTGACTTAACCTTTCACTATCTCAGTTCCACATATAAAATATGGAGTAAAAATTAATTTATGGGGTTGAAAAATAAAACAATACTTATTAAGCACTTAATCAAGTATTCACATGGGTGCCTAAATTAGAAATCTGAGCCTTTTGTGGTCAGTCAAGCAAAGTGGGAGATAGAAACTAAATTAAAAGCTTGCCACTCTTCAGTGCCTGCACAGTAAAATATGAATTTTTATTGCTACAATGTAAATGTATTCTACAAATTAGAGAATACAATCAACAATTTAGTTTCAAAAGTTGTCCAGTGACTGATTCATGTTAAAAGAAAAAGAATACAAAAATCAGTGTGAAATGGTTATACAGACATAAAAAGCCCTGCTTTTCTCCGTGGGAGCTGTGAGATTTTATCCATTAATATAGAAAAAAATTATTTTTTCTACATCTTCTGTAGAATTAAAGGGAGACAGGAAGAATGTGTTTCCGAAATAACTAAGCACAATTGCAATTATATTTCTGAAATGATAACAGCAACAGCTTTGTAATCACTGGCTGCTGGGCTACAGAGCTCAACAGTAACAGGAATTCTTACCTGGAGAAGAAGGGCAAACACAGAGGAACCCAGAGTGGTCCTTGGTTTCTTTTCCTCTCCTGATTTACTTAGAAATTTTTTTCCACTTTGATGCTTTTAGAACAGCTTTTTAGTAATTTTCAGAACAGTATTTACTCCTTAGGCACCACTGGTGACTCAAAGTTTCTTGTGTTTCTTCTACAAGGCTCTGCTATTCTGCTGGGTTACTCTGCAACCCAAACAGTTGAGGCTGTTACCAGAGAGTGCACTTATGGGAAGCAAATACAAATTCAGAAATGTCATTCCACACCCTCTGCACTTAGTGCATTGGATTATAAGACTCAAACTCCCTGCAGGAAAAGGTACAAAGGCAAAACCTATTTTAAATACACTTGGGAGTTGCCTATACTCAGTAAGAGTATAGCAACTAACTAAATAAAGCTCTTGAGCTCTTATTGGTTACATATTAATCTAAACAATATTCTTGGCCCATGATAGAAAATACTGATTTGTGTCTTCAGTTTATAACTATAAATCGAAATTACTATACTTGCCGTTTTCGGATTGTTTCAAGTCACAACTAAATCAGGATAGTCAATTTTCAAGTTAAACTTTTCTCAGTTATAAGTAGTTTTCATTGCTATGTGAAATCATAGAAAGGTCCAGAGACTGCCTTTACATCATTGCAATTCTGCCTAGACTATTAGCATGCACAAAATAACTGTGAACCAAAACTGGTGTCATATCTGAGATAGTTACTTACAAGAATACAATTGTAAATCAAGCTGTGCGAAATAATGTCTTATACTGTGTATTAGTTGCTTCAAGTATAAAGTTAATATTACATATTGAGATAAAATAAACAAACTTTGAAGACAAACATTAAATAGTCAGATGTTTTTCTAGTATACTTTCAGTATCTGTTTAATGCTGGGATTATAATTAATTGCAAATAGTATACTTGTGTTCTCCACAATGCAGATAAGCTTCCCAATAATGTGAAAAAAGACCAGATAGTAATAAAAAAGATAAGCTGTCTTTAAACCTGTCTCAGCTCTGCTTAAGTCATATTAAAACATTACAAAATTGATTTAAAATCATAGAAATGAGAAGTAGGCATTTAAAATAGTTTTGAATCTGTTTTTTTGTTTGTTCAACATGTTTTCAAGTTGCGATGTTTATAAAAGACAGAAAATATATGTATAATATTAAGTCAAAATTTAACAAACAATGACTAGAGGAAAAAAAAATTGAAAAAAGAAAATAGTACTATTGCCATCTAACACTAACACATCTCAGTTACTGGCTGTAGGTGCAGTACTTTCTGAACATGTCAAGAGGAAAAAAATATAAAAGTAACTTATCCAAATTACTTCACATACACAAAAACCAAGAACTCCAAAGACTGATGCAGCTACTGAGGTTAACTATGATACAGGAACTCATTAAGCATTTCTCTTTCCTTTTCTCCTGTTCACCCTAGGCAGAACCCATACTCTGAAAATCACTACCTTAAGTCAAGATCTTGACGAAGGTTCACAGGCTTAGAACCTTTTGGTCTGTGACCCAACATACGAGCCAAAAAAAAACTCTAATCAAAATATAAATATGGGAAACATCAATGAAAAACATGTGGATCCTTTCTAAAACTCAGTATAAGGCTAAAAGTGCTCAAAATGCAGAGAATCATAAAAAAAAAAAATCATGCAAGCAAAACACCAAATTCCTATTTCAGGAAGAATATCTGGAATAGGACTCTTCAGAATAATCCTTTCAAACTGTTCAGAGGAATGTTACTAAATAATCCCCACAGGTAGAGTTACAGTACGTGACAGTCTTCAAACACGCCTGCTTGCCCTTTGACTTGCATTCTATAGCTGCTCATCTTTCTAGAGAAATAAGGACAGTTTTAACCACTTGGCCTTTTGAGATGAGACCAAAAAGACACAAGAATATTTTACAGAGGAATGTGTAAAGAAATATCTGGAGTTTTTTATTCTTTTTTTTTTTTCTGCTGAGAATGACAGAAAGAATGGAGAATACTTGTGTTTCTGTTGAAGTCCATTCTCAGCCTTCACGCCAAAAGTGCCTGGTATCTATATCAGAAATTCAGACTAAGAAATAATCTTTGGTTGGAAACCTCTGTGAATTTAGTAGACTGATAGATGTCTTAATTAAAACAGACAATAATAGAACGAGAAATACTGAGGGTCCTATTTTGTTTTAAAGTACATAATCTCATTCCACCCCATTACATCTTTTGCAACTGTATGTTTTAGGAGCTGCATTTTTTCCCTTTGACAGAGATAACATGCATCTGTAGTCTCCCTACGATATTGTTTTGTTCAGATTCACGTCAACTACTACTCTGAAAGTCATTGTTTAGCCATCTTTTAGGTGAAATGCTCTGAAATAGCTGTTAGCATCTGAAATAGGAGGACTTCCATAAATCAAAAACCTTGCTTAATAATCACCAAGGCTGAACCTGGTTTGACAACAATAATTAGAAGAGGGAAGGATTTTAAAATTTTGACCACCTGTCCACTTCTTTTCTTTATAATTCATTAAATGATCAATATGGTGATGTAATGATCCAATTTTCTCCTAACAGAAACTTCCTAAATTTGCTCAGTCTTAGGGGATTGAACATTTAGAGTCAATTGATCACTACTCGTGTGCAGGTCGGGTTTTCCCTCACACAGCAAGGGCAATTTTATCTGACTCAGATATTTCTGGTTTATTTATCTTTGGCAGCCAGGATACATGCTTCCCTGGCCAAGGAGGCAGCAATATTTTGAGTTTAGCGTGACTTCATTGCAGTGTCTTGAGTCTATCACTGATCAGGGCTAAGGGTCTCTATAGCCACTGAATGAAAAGGAAGGTTGGATGTCAATAGTGCAATACCTATGGCATTAACAGAATCATGTGTTTTACTACTCATGTGGAAGGAGAAGGTGGAAATTCTGATTTTTATTACTGAGGTCCAGTATTTGTCCTACACGATTTAATTTTCCCGTGACAAGGATTTGCTGTGGAACAGAAACAGAAAAGGTGGTTTTGCTTCTCCCTTTCTCTAAAACTGATATGAAAGAAACCAAAAGTACTCTTTGTGGTGATCTTTACGAAGGAGGAGTGGAAAGATAAGGGAAACAGGATCTCCCTAGCTTTCCCTTTCCCTGACTTCTAGACTAATTTGGATATTGCTTGAGAGTATTTTGAAAACATGCTTGTAAGTGCTCAAAACAAACTTGGAGTTCTTCAAGTGGAAGAGGCTATCATAATGTTTCTCTACAGGATCACAGGGGGCTTCTGCAGGAAATGTCTTCACAGTCATCTGATAAAACTCTGTAAATACTTGTAATACCACAAGCACAGCAGTCAGGAATGACTGTTGGCATTTGCATTTTGTTGCTTACTTACTATGTTAACCAAGACTAACATCCCAAAGTCTCTGAAACTCATTCTGTCTGTAAAACAGAGATAATACTCTCAGAAGTCTTTGTTGAGAATTAATTAGCTATTATTTACACACTGATCCTTTAAAAACAAAATGAATCCATGCACCGTTTTTACATCCCTGCTCACTTAAGAAAAAAAAGAAAAGAAAAAAAACCCAAACAACAACAACAACAAAAAACAAACCAAAACAAACAAACAAAAAAAACCAACAAAAAAAAAAAAACAAATGACAGCGATTCATTGATTTTTGTGGCCAGAAGGGAGCATTATGATAATAATCTACTCTGGAGTTCAGTAGCCACAGTGCCAACCTCCATGTAATACTTTAGATAATGAGTTCTCAGTCTGGGCTATAGTGCAACATTCATAAAGTTATCCAGTCTTGATTTCAAAACTAAAAGTGATGGAAAATCAAATTAAACACACCCCTATGGAAACTCTTTCAGTGTTACTTATATTCAGTGCTAAAAATACGCATTGTTTCTACTTGATCTGTTCATCCAGTCACAGGATCTCATTACATATTTTGCTCTGTATCCAAGCATGGTTCACTACCATGGATTTCTTCTCCTTTGTAAGAATGAGGCAAAATAGGATGAGAAAACACTGACTAAGCTTCTATAACCTTAAAATAATAGATAATTAAGCAAAAACAGTAACTTTTCTGGAATAGCTTGCAAAATGATAATATGATCTGGTTTGCAAAACCTTTACAGGTTTTCTGTTCAAGACACTAGCTTCCCTCCTCCCTCCCCCTTCCCACAAGAGATGTGTAAAATCAGAGTAAAATGACAGCATGGCTTTCCATTCACTTTTTTGTGGAATTCATTCACAGTTTTGTCACTTTCTTTAACACCAGGGTTCAATCTCCTTCTAAAACAGGATCCCCAAAAGATTTCCAATTATCACTAATATTATGCATTATTATGTCCAGTGTGCTTCATACAAAGTCACCTGTGACTGAAAGCCAAGCATATAAACAATATGGTAAAAATAGTTCGTACTTCCATTTAAAAATTACCAATCCTCTCTTTGTTCAGATAACTTCTGCGTGATCCAAACTGTTTGCTTAGTATAACTGACAAAAATATTAAATATCTTTCATATTAGTATATGAGACCGTGATTAATATCTAGTTTTTAAGAAGAATACCACAAAAATTCAATTAATCTTTGATTAAAGATGTTTGGGTTTTTTTTGAAGATACTGTTTCACACTCGTATCTATACAAAATGTGAGTGTCTAGCCTTGTCTAAGCCTGCTCATGAAAAAATAAAGAGTATACTTTAGACAGAATGGAGAGAAAAGCAAGGTGGAAAGCAAGCAACAGTGATAGATCCTTGTTTTCAGCAGCTTTTCATAAATTCCCTTGGGAAGCCAACTGAATTTCATTGAAGGGAGTGAATCAATGGTCCTTCATAAAAAGAAAATCAATTAGAAAGTCATTACCTGAAAATTAGCACTCAAAAAACAAAATTCCATTTTAAAGGCAATTAGACTACATGCCAGTACTAAGCTGAATTGCATTTGCATTGATGTATGCAAAATGATTTACATCCTCCATCCCTCAGAAACGTAGGGAGTGAAAA